GTATCGGGGTCATGGCAATTAACAGTATAAGCTGGCCGTTTCTGGCAGCGTTTCCAAACAACCTGCTTCGGCGACAGCGGATGCAGACCGAGGTGGCGCACATGATATCGCACATTGCAGACAGACATAACGCAGCGGTGCTTGTGATCAGCAATGCAAAGGGCGCTGCCAACAACAATGCTCTTGTTGCTCAAGACGGCGACGCATGGGCACGCATATCCGCAAATCAATTGTGCATCCAGCGTTCGGGCGACAACTACCTGGCCAGACTGGTGAGTTCTGCCGCATGCCCAGCTATGGAGCGGCAGATCAAGGATCCGAGGGACAGCGTGGTGTGCGAGTAGAACGAACTGGCTAATATTATAAATTCTTGTTACAGGTAACAGAAAGAGAATTGGAAACTCGCTAGTTTCGTAAGAGAAGAAAAGGAGAGAAGGAAAAGAACTAACGGTTCATAAACAGAGTGGACGAAGGAAAGCCAGAAGGGGTGGTCTTTCAACCGCCATCTTCATGCCACGTAGCCATGAATGTTGTGTATCAGCAAGAGTGTTGCCTTTTTAGTAGTTGAGGTAGATGGTCAGGGCGCCAGTGTCAGGAGCGAATGAGCATTCGATTTCCATATCCTGCTCATCCTCAAGTTGGGAAATGACGTTGTCGTCGACGCGTACAGTCAGGCCCTTCTTGGTGCGACGGATGACCTCGATGTCGGAGTTGGCCTGGATCTCAAGCTTTTGCGTCAGCTTGGACACCAAGTCATCGACAGCCAGGCGGTCCAGGTACACGGCCCGATAGACCGCCTGGCCCATCACCTTGACGTAGATTGCCAGCACCGCCTTGTTCTTGCGCGGCATCGGCACGTACGTCGGGTCAACACCGACCAGCTCAACCGCGCCAGACGTAAAGCTCGCGTTGATACCCGACGACAAGGACGTAGGCGAGAACTGGCGCTTGTTTGGCGACAAGGCCTCCGAGTTCTCGGCAGACCGCTTCCGCGGGAATGTGGTGGCGATGGGCGAGTTGAGCCCGCTCAGCGTCATCCCTGGCACGCCAATGCTGATGGATGTCAAGCCGGCCAGCTGCGACATTCCGTTGGGCGAGTCCCCGGTAGCGCTGGCACTCGCACCAGCTGCCCACAGCTCGTCGACAGCCGCTGGCTCATCGGGATCGCAGTCGTCGCCAGTCATTGTGTATTCGATGAAGCCAGTGACTGGCTGCACAGGCGCAAAGGTCATGTTGAATTCGGCATACTGCTGCTGGTGCGACTGGGTGCTGTTGTTCAGCGCATGCTTTGCCTTGTGCTTCTCCCACATCTTGTCCATGTGCCGCTGATCGTCTTTGTTCTTGCGCTCAGCGCCCTTGTCGCGGAACAGCTTGACGCGCGCGTAGCACCGCTCGATGACCTTGCCAGCAGTCAGACCAGACGACGATGGGATCGGCACACCTGGGAAGGTTGCCGCGGTGGCAGAGCTGGGCGGCTCTAGGCCGGCGGTTCCGCTGTTAGCGGCAGTGTTCAGATCGTCAGCACCAGACAGTCCCGGCAGAGACCGCGTGGCCTGCGCGACTGGCGCCACGTGGGCAGCGGAGGTGGATGGCATCGATGTGATTGGCGACGAGAGCTGTGAGATCGATGCGGTAAAATCAGCGACCGACGGATTGATGGACATTCGCGGGGTATGCGTTGGGACCGCCTGGCACGTATCCAGGTGGATTCGCAGCGGGATGCCCTTGACCCCCTTGATTCGGCTAAAATCGGTCGACAGACAGTTGAAGCGGATCATGACCTTGGCGCCGCGCCTGCCCTGCCACTGGAACGTGACACGATCAAACAGGCGGCTCTCGGCAGCAATGACGCCGATGGACCCGGCCTTGTCGAGCTCGACGGCGCGAGCTGTGCGCGGGTTCTCCTGCTGGTTCAGCCAAAAGTTCCAGTACGTCGATGCGCCCTTGCGGTGGGAGTCCTCATGGAACGTGATGCGCAGCGTGGTGCTAAAATACTCCTCCGAGTGTGTGCGGTCCTGCAGCGAAATACCGTATAGCTGGCCCTTGTTCAGGTACGTCAGCGCGGGCTCATCGACTTTTTGTGCTGCTGCGGTGGGCGCTTCCAGGATGCATTCGAACCGCATGCCAGAATCCAGCGTTGGGTGGTGCATTGTGTGCTGCATGGGCTGCTGGTGTGTCAGATGCACAGGTGGCGTCGATGTGGGAAGCGTACCCGTGACTGCCATTACGCTGTAGTCGTGGTCCACAGCTACAGCCGCTGCTGCCATTGCGGCAGATGTCGGGTCAGCGTGCCCAGCATCAAAGGGAGCGGAGTGCTGCGGGCCAGTATGCTGCGTGTGGTATGCCGCATGGTGCATGTATGGTGATGCAAAGCCGCTGGCAGAGTACGCATTGTTTGCACCACCGGCAACAGCAACGGCGGCTGCGGCGGCCGCTGCCGAATGCTGCGATTGGGCAGGCACCTGGTGCGAATGGTGGTGCTGCGTGTGCTGGGCCTGCTGGGCCTGGGGCGCATGCGACGGCACTTGTCCTGGGGTGCCAGCATACGATGCGTGCGGCTGGTGCATGAATCCGTGCTGATTCAGCGTTGCGCTGTCTCGCCGTTCGCCGGAACCATCGAGACTGTACGTGGCGTAGTACGACGCGGCGTCCGCTGGGATTGTTGACATGGGAACACCAGAGATGTGACTACAATTTCGAGAGGCGATTGTTCTGCATTAGTGCCATGACCCGTGGTTTAATCTTTGGCAATAATAAGCGAGGGATATTAAGTGTAGATGAAAGCCGCTGAAGTGCAATAAACAGGAGTGGTGGTGGATTGGGCTTGGGCGGGACCGCATGATGTGCACACGTACTTGTCCTGCAACCTGTACATCTTTGCTTTTCGACCCAGCCTGTAGGTGTAGGTATTAATTACATTATTGCTGCCAGCAATGCTTACCTGTTATCGTAAGAGTATGACATTGACGCAGGGGATATCTAGTGTACAAGAAGGAAGTGGAGAGAGAAGGACAGACAGACAGACAATTGGGGCTGGAGGAGTCTAAAAAGTCGGCCGCTGGGTTTCCAAACAGGGACACAAAGGTAGAGAAAGGACAGCGATATGTCTCGGCCCGCAAAAACAATGTTGGTATATGTGTTTGAGCTAGAGGCTATGTAGGGAGCCACCTGTATTCCTCTATCTGTCGGTGTGGGTATTGTTCGGCGCCGGCAAGCTAGCGTAAGCGGGGGTGGGTGTCTTAGGTGTCTCTTTAGGCAACCTTATAATTTCCCTAAACTAGCTGCTGGCTAATGTCCAAAGTGGAGCACAATCTGAACGAAGGTGCCGGTCTTTGTGTTTTTGTGAATGCTAACAGTCCCCCGCACTGAAGAGACCGCTGGGACTGCAGGGAGGTGTCAGAAATTGGGTATTAGGTGAAACGCCCGTAGAAAATAGCACAGGCGGGAAAGAGAGATAAAGAGAGATAAAGAGAGATGGAAAAATATGAGCAATAAGAAGCTAAAAAAAAAAAAGACAGGCCAGAGAGCGTGTTCTCAAAAAACAAGGGAGAAGGGGTGCCAACAAGCGAAATTTTTAAGAGTTCAGCAAAGGGCCTAGTTTGCAACAGGTACACCGCTGCCTGTGGAGGGAAGTAAAGGCTGCTGGCGCGTCGAATTCTGTGGCATATCTCACAAGCCCGGCACGTACCACCCCCATAGCCCGCCCCCCTGGACGCATGCTGAAAAGGCACGCTTTTCTTGTGATGTTGCTCCGGGCAATTTATTTTCTCGTCAATTTCGCATTTGTTTCGCTCTTTGGCGGGATGCCCAAAAAGCGAGCTGCAGCCTTATTGCCTCTTTTCGCCTTTTTGCCTTTTGGAACCCGTTGCGCCTCTCTGGGATTACTCGTGCCGTCTGATTCTTGATAATCGCTGAGGACCCGGGGTGACTGCGTGTCCTGGCCATTTTCCTCGGCAAGGGCAGGTGGAGAGGAGGAAAATGGATGGAAGTGTGCGCGATTTGCCTGCCAGCCAGCTGTTCCCATCAGTTTTCTGCAAAGTGCGCGCTCCCTCACCAGCCATCTCTGCGACAAACAAAAATTGGCCATCTGCAGCAGTCCTCGCTTCCATGCTTGCCGTGTCAATCCGCCGACCGTCCTTATTTTTGGGAGCGGTGGTTCCACCACTTTCCCTCCTGTGTGCTAATCCACGTCTGCCCATGTGTCCAGGGCAGGAGCCGTGCGTGTTGTTGCCGGCAGGAGCGAGGATGTTGATTACGTGTGCGCATATGCCAAGCATATCCCGGCTGTATGTGCTTTGCATCGCTGAACACGCTGCACCTGTGCTGCGGCCAGCCATCCCCACTATCCAATCCACTTAGTCGGATATGCCTGTTCATTGTGTATCTCCTAAAAACCCCCCGATATGTATCTTTTTCTCAAAAAGCGCAGGAGGGGCATACAATACATGCTTTTGGCGCAACCACATGCATGGGTTTTGGCAGGACGGAAAAAGATGGCTAGCAAAAATACACGCAGATTAATGAAGCTATCTGGACTTGCCTCCTCCCTCGCTTTTTCCAGCACCGCCCATTCGAACTGCGTGCTGTCGATCCATGGATGCCCGCCTGTTATCCAGACAGCACAGGTTTTGGGAATCTCGTTGCAACCAGTTTGGCCCAAGTCCCTTTCTCCACACTTTTATTAGGCCAGGAACGAGCAGGAATCGCTGTTTGTCGTGGGCGCTTCTTGTTCCCACATTGCCGGACGCGCAGCCCTGAATCACCTTCTTTTGCCAAGCATCTGTCCTTGGCAGGCACCTGCTTTTCCTGTGTGGGCCGAGGGGGCTAGTTGCCGAATAGCAGGTGCCAATTCGATCTCCGCTCCCCTTTTCCTCGGCTGCGAACAGGTTTATTTTGCACACAGCCGCATCTGCGCAGCCCAGGAGCAAAAAGTGCTTTGTTCCTTTTTGTACTCTGGGCCGCTTTGGTCCTGGTTTGCGACCTGTAGACCCGCGCCATCGAGATTTCTTAAACCGGCAGGTTTCTTTATATAATCATCACGGGCTATGACTAAGGATTTGGCTACATGCATGGCGGGGACCCAAAAATGTATGATCTGGATCTTGAGAGTACGTCGTCGATATACTTGTTCCCGGCCCGTTATAGCACACTATGTATCTGCAGAAAGTACGGGGGCTGTCCCTATTGATCTCCTTGCTCTTGGACCAGGCAGAAAGAGCTTGAAAATGCCGGTACATGTTTTTATGGAGTCTGGCACTCACATGCTATTGTGTACCACCCCAGTATGGTCGAGGCAGGGACTTGTATCGGCCACGGCCCCCATGGGAACTGAGCAGCTGCCGCTGCTAAATGACACCCATGCATGTACTGGAAAGCACAGTGATGCCGCAGCATTTGCGTTTTTGTTGTGGGATCTTCTGTGCAAGTCGGCGCGAGAAGAACGGGAAAACACCAGATCCTCCCCTCCATGCCGACGGCTCTCCCGCATGCGTGCAGCTTCAGGCCCATCCCCTAGACAGTTCTGCGCCGGAAGCAATCAAGAGCGCCTGCAGAGTGGGGGAGGGGCACCAGCAATTTTCGCAGTGCATGGACTGCCAGCCATCCCCCCTCCATTTTCCCTATTGAGCAGAAATGAAAGCTCGCCGCTCTAGCAGCTGTCGATCTGGGTCGGCTTGTTTTATATCAATCGGCGAATGCGCATCACGTGGAGCTTTCGGCTGATTTACACCGGGGTGGGCCCGCCCAGAGACCATCCCAACACGATTGCGGGAGCGTCGTAGTGGCTCCGCCCCAAAAGAGGAGCCACAGGCCTGCATGCTTGACTCAGTATTTTCGAGCGCAGTCTCGGGTACTTTTTTTAAACAGAGCAGCGAATGAAAAGCCAGGAACGCCGTTAATGGTCCATGGCAGGCTGTCGCATGGGGAGAGCGGAAGGCGCTGTCGCATTGCGATTTATGACCACATGTAGGTGGTCTGTCTATCCGGCTCTGAGGACTGCTGTGGAAAATGTGCACCGCAAAGGTGGTGATGGGTCTGCAGAAGCGAATAGCGTTTCTGGAGAAAACGACATGTAAATTCGGTATGTAGGCACTTCTCGACATGCAAAAATCCTTTAGTGAGAGCAGCCTATCATGTTCTGGATCTTTCTGAAAGCCGTACCTGGGTGGACCTCGGCGAATCTAGCAAAACAACCGAAGGTGATTTACGCGCGGTTAATACTTTGGCACATTGATTTTTTTGCAACAAGACGTCGAAATGAAAGCGGACAGGCCGCCGCTCCGATCCCCTTGCTATAGCCTTCTTCAATCGATGCAAAAGTACCCACGCATGCCACAGTTCACGGAGCAGCGCGGTCGACGGCATCTGAAACAAATAAAGGGCATTTATGGAAAAACTATGGTTAAAAGGGTGGTAATTAGAAATAAACAGTAATTAGAACCGGGAAACAGTAGGCGCAAGAATGGGCCAAGAAACAGCGACGTGTGGGGATAAAAACAGTAGGCAAGAGGGAGGCTCTCCAAAACATATTCGGGGAGTGGAAGCAAAACGTGCCCCCTTGCGTCTAGGGCGGGTTCATTTTACCGAGATGCGTCGATGGAGCGTTTCGCCTCATCGACTACATCGCGCAGTCGCCACCGGGTCGTTCATGGTGTAGGACAGCGGCGCGGACGTCCTGGCTCATATGCTCGAGGATCCACACAGTAAGCTTCGTCGAGTCCTTGTACCCCATGCCCTTGATGAGCGGGAACAGCTTGGAGCCCAGCTTCTTCTTGCGCTCTTGGTCGGGCTTGGACAGCAGCATCTCAATGTACTCCTCGACCTCAGTGCTGTAATCCTGCAAATGCAGTCCGGTGCTGGCTCCTTGGTGCTCCGGCTGCACTGGTGCAGGCGCAGTGACTGGCGGGCTGGGCTTTGGTGCCGGGTACTCGGCAAGCACAACGCGCTGCCATCTGGCTGGTGATCGTCGCAGGCCGGGCTCCTTGTCGGCCGTGAGCTTCAGCTGCTCCTTGCGCGCGACCGTATGCTGCTCGACCTCCCACTCGGTGGCAAGGCGCTCGGGGTCGCGGATCAGGGCAACCACCTCCTCGACCGGCCGCCGCAGCAGCGACTCGACGACCCTTGCCGAGTCGCGCACGTCCACGGCCTGGGTTCGAGGCGACCTCGGAGATCAGCTTTTGGGTCAGGATCTCGTTGCGCGCGTTCTCGGTCAGGTTCCGAAGCATGATCGGGTCCAGCAGCGGGTCGTTGTCGCTGGTTGCCGTGGCAGATCGCGAGGACAGCTGCGGCGACTGCGACTGGGCGGGCGGCTGGATGGGCGGCTGGATGGGCGGCTGGATGGGCGGCTGGATGGGCGGCTGGATGGGCGGCTGGATGGGCGGCTGGATGGGCGGCTGGATGGGGCGGCTGGATGGGTGGCTGGACCGGGGGCTGGATGGGCTGGCCTGGCTGCGGGACAGGCGACGCGCTGGCCCTCAGAGCCGGGTTGGTGGGCGGGGTATGTGAGGCGATGCGCGAATCGGCGCGGCTGGTGGCATTGGCAACCGGCTGACCGTTCTTGTTTACGTGCTCGTACTGGTACAGCGTGATCTTGCGGCCTTGATGTCGGTGCCCTGGCACTCGCGCAGCGCTTGCAGCGCGGCAGTCGGATCACTGAACTGCACGATCCCGTGGCCACGCGACTTTTTCGTGACCGGATCGATGCTGACGCGCGCTGACTGGATGTACCCGTACGTCTTGAACAGCGCAAACAGCTCCTTGTGCGACACCGTTGGGTGCAGATTGGTGATGAACAATTTGCCAGGCACAATGACGCCGCCCAAGCCATTGCCCGGGCCCTCATTGGACCACCGGGCTGCCAGCACGCTTCGGGTGCATGCCCGTGGGCGTCGTTGGTATCTGCGGCATCGGCAGCTCGGCTGCTGCTGCGCACGGGCGACATTGGCTTCGGGACAAACTCGCTGGGCGACATGCTGGCGCGCGACGATCGCGGCGCTCGTGCAAGCTGCACAAGCACGGTGTTGCCCAGGAAATCGGCGTAGTTGAGCTGCTCGACGGCCACATTGGCGTCGGCGCTGTCAATGTAGCATGCCATTGCAAAGTCCTTCTTTAGCCCATTCGCGTGCACTGGAATGCTGCATGCATAGAGCGGCCCCACGGGACGCTAAAAAGTCGTAGAGTGTGAGCTCGGTTGCATCCTCTGGAATGTGCTTGATACACACGTTATCCGGCCTGCGGTGGGTATGCGAGCTCGCTGCCATGCAGGGTGACATCATCAGCGTTCCGTTGCTGTTTTGCAGCTTCCGTCTGTTGAGGACTGCCATGGCCTTCTCGGCTAAAACCCACAGGGGAAGGGGAAAGGGGAAATGCGGTGTCAGTGTTTGTTGCGAGAATTGGCGGGGAGCGGTTACCTATGGTTGTTACTTACTGTCGTCGATGTTGCGGAACTCGACGTTGCCAGTAATGCTGTCTGACTCGTGCGGGTCCACATTGAGGCGAATGCCACGGCTCGACTTGAACAGCTGCTGCAGCTCTGGCAGCGACTGCTCGTTGACGCCCTGGAAGTACAGCACCCGCCTGTGCATTTGGTCCCATCCGCCTGCCACTGCGCATTCTGTGCCTCAGACTGGCTTTGTCCGCGCGACCTGCTTTGCGGAAACTGCTGCGGCATTGGTGCAGGGTCATTGAGGTTCAGCGCAACTGGCGCGTCTGGCTGCTTCAGCGGCGACAAATCTGTATACGAGGACCATTTTGAGAAGGGCAATAGGTTTTTTTTAAAAAAAGAAAAATACAGTATGTACTAGGTTTGCTCACGAGTAAAAGAAAGTGAGAAAAAATGGTTTGGGGTCAGAGGAAGAGAAAAACGAGCAAGCGATCCAAGGTCTTGCAACAGGTCAACATTGACAGTGACTGAGACACGGCCTCTCCACATTTTCTCCTTGCTTGGGTGGGCAGGTTTCCGGCGTGCCCAATTCCCCTCCCGCAAACCTCATACTCGGCAAGCTATCAGGAGGTCAGGCAGCGCCGTAACCGTCGTCCTACTACGAGGCGGATATCGAGATAGCAAAAACCATACTTGCCAATGCAGTCCCCGGTGCACTGATGACTGTTGCCAGTGCAAAAGGAAGGCAGATCTGTAGGCGACTAAATGAAGACTAGAATCCAACAAAAACCTGGTATCAGCCAACAATGGCTGCAGCGCTGGCAGCTTGCACTGTGCCGAAAAGGGCAAACAGAAGGCATTTGCTGCCGGAGGCTATTGAGGCTAGTTCAAACATGTGATTAGAAACCACTGGGCAAAGTAAAAATATTGCGCAAGGTTTTGCATGTGCGGTTGCTGGAAGCAACGCCCTCTGTGCGACATGAATTCAGGAGGCGCTATTCTGTGTTTCTGCAGCCAGCGGTATAGACTGGGTGGCATCCCCCTCTAGCTTACCAAACTCCAGCCGGCAGCTGTATGGGCTGAGCTCTAACCAGGTTCCTGTCCCAGATGCGAATCAGATCAGCAACCAAAATCATTGAATCCAGATCCAGCATTGGATCAGTCCATTATCAGATATCACGGGCAGTGACGCTGATTGGCCAATGCGGTGGCTGACGATAAAAGGTTGCCTTTAAAAATTTTTTTTGGGGAGCGCGGCTATAAAGCCTGGTCAACCGCAGTGTCTTCCGCGAGACTTTTCTTATCCACTTATCTGTTTGAAATTCAGCAAAAACAACACTTTTCCACCTGTACTTTTCTCCTCTTATCACACACCCTTCATAATAAGCATGTTCAAGACACTCGTCTCCACTTCTCTGCGCCAGGCCACCGGCATCCGCACGACACCGGCAGGTTTTGGGGCGGCCCGGCGGTTCTACCACGAGAAGGTCATTGACCACTACGAGAACCCGCGCAACATGGGCTCCTTGGATAAGAACGACCCGACAGTGGGCACGGGCCTGGTGGGGGCTCCGGCGTGCGGCGATGTGATGCGGCTTCAAATCAAGGTGGACGATGCGGGCAATATCACTGACGTCAAGTTCAAGACGTTCGGGTGCGGGTCGGCCATTGCCTCGTCGTCGTATATCACGGAGCGGGTGCGCGGAATGAGCCTGGACGACGCGATGAAGATCAAGAACACGGAGATTGCCAAGGAGCTGTGCTTGCCGCCAGTGAAGCTCCACTGCTCGATGCTGGCTGAGGATGCGATCAAGTCGGCTATCAAGGACTTTAGGAAGAAGCGCGGGGGAGAGGTCATCCACAGCGAGGGCGCCAAGCCTACCGCTGCTCAGGCCTCGGCGTAAAATGGAGGAAAACGGCTGGCAGGCATGTGCTGTGGGGGGTTTCTTTTTTCTTCTTTTTTCTTCTTCCCCCTTTCTTCACAGAGAGGCGGGGGAGTGGCATGCGAAAGGGAGCGTATCGGCAGCGCGAGTGGTCAGCAGATACCAGGGCACACAAAGTTTTTCTTGTGCCTTCGTATCGATGAGTCAGGTTGAAGACATTGGGCGGGATTTACGCTCCGCCTTCATGCCAGGCTCGGCTCAACCCTTTGCCCTCGGTGCAAAACAAGCGCGCATGCCCATCGTCTGCACCTGGCCCTGCTGGCTCCCCCTGTTCAGCGCACTCACACGAGAGGTTTAAGCAGTATCTTTCGAATGTAAAGTATTTAACTTTTTTCTTTCTTTCTATTCGATGCCACGCCCGGGCGAGAGTGATGTGTAAAATGGGCCGTCAGAGAAGCGAGCACTAGCGCGGCTTCCAGAACTTGTCCAGTCTGGTTCCCGGCTTCGGTTTCCC